GGGGGGGTCCAGTCATGGGGCCTGAACTCTGGGCCTGGGCGCTGTCCCTCAGCTCAAGGCTAGCACTCTACCACTTGAGCCACAGCGCCACTTCTGGCTTTTTTCTCTTTTTGCTTATGTGGTGCTGAGGAATCAAACCCAGGGCCTCAGGCATACAAGGCAAGCGCTCTACCACTGAGCCACCTTCCCAGCCCGATTCCTATTATTTTTAAAGTTCACTTAGATCCAGACACTGGTGTCTCATATCTGTAATCCTTGCTACTCAGGAGGCTGAGATCTGACAATTGAGATTCAAAGCCAGCCTGGTTAGGAAAGTTTATGAGATTCTTACTTCTAATTAGCTACCAAAAAAAGAAGTACTTGAGAAAATGTGTATTAAAAACAACAACCGTGTTGTTACTTTATAAGAGATTTTGTATACTAGTAATAAGCTTTCTAGTTTATCTTGTATGCTTCCCCAAATGAGAGTCTTTCTCTGTTTCCTAGCAGAGGGAATATTATTTTTATTGCCATTGTTTATTCTAAGATAATGCATGTACAGTTAAGAATTGAAGAGCTGAATAATTTAATATGAACAACAAAATCTCTTGATTAGCTTTCTATACCAGTGTTTGAACTCAGCTTCATACTTGGTCAGGTTACTTGCTCAGTTGGTACTCCCATTTAAACCATACACCTCTAGCCTGTTTTTCTGCTTGTTATTGTGAAGATGGAGTCACAGATTTTTCTGCCTGGTTGGCTTTGAACTGAGATCCTTTAGAGCTCAGCCTCCTGAGTAGCTAGGATAACAGGTATGAGTCACTGATCCCTGCTTGCTTGGTCTTTCTGACTCCCTGTGGCCACATTTTTTGCCCCTAGTGGGAGGCATACAATATTATGTTAATAAGTAAATAGTATAAGGGATACAGCCCCATGCTAATAAGTAAATAGGGGAAAGAATACAGAGAATAAGTGCCCAGAAATCTGAATTTATTTGTATCCTTAAAATGAACTGTTGGAACATACCCTTTTGTAAGCTGGGGACTTTCAACACTCTATTTGGGAAATTCCAAAATAAAGGCTTTTTTTTGTTGATTAAATGTGTTAGTCACAGACCTATAAAATGCCTTGAGAGTAGGAATCACCCCTCTTTAATTTTGTATCTCAGACATAACCCAGGTATACCGTAGTTCAAAAACATGTGACTAGTAGTCTATTTAAAAGAGTGAAAAGATTGAATTTGAAGCAGAAGACCATCATGCCCACACCTCCAACTCACTAGAGCTTTAGAACTTGTGTAGGTTATATGACTTGCTGTTTCTCATCGATGTCTTAAGAGATTTGGGGTGCTGAGATTTATTTTTTATTTATTTTTATTTTTTGCCAGTCCTAGGGATTGAACTCAGAGCCCAGGCACTGTCCCTGAGCTGCTTTTGCTCAAGGCTATCACTCTACCACTTGAACCACAGCACCACTTCTGGCTTTTTCTGTGTATGTGGTACTGAGGAATCGAACCCAGGGCTTCATGCATGGTAGGCAAGCACTCTATCATTAAGCCACATTCCCAGCCCAGAGGTGTTGAGATTTGAATCTAGGACTTTATACCTGCTAATATATGATACCTTTTTAACTTCAGTTTTATTAATTCACAGGATACTACTACTTCTATGTCCTTCAGAAGAGCATTGATAACTAAATGAGATTAGATGTGTCAAAACATCTTTTTTTTTTAACATTTTTATTATTATATCTTTAAGTAGTTGTACAAAGAAGTTCCCATTCTACAAATCAGTGTATGAGTACAAGGTGTCTGACAACATTGTCACCCATCAATCCTAACCTGTCCCTTCTCGCACTATTTTTTAAAATTGAGATTAGGTGATTACATAAATTTCACATATTTCACAGTATTGTGGTATCAAAGTATCTTATAAAATTAAATGCTGTACAGTTGAGAAAGCCACCATTGTTACTATATTTCTGGGACATTCTTGATAAAGAGAATCATTTGAATGTTACAGAAATTCTCAGCTGATTATCAATGATCCCTCATTTGTTTTTTGGTTTTTTTTTGGTCCAGTCATGGGCCTGAACTCTAGGCCTGGGCGCTGTCCCTCAGCTCTTCAGCTTAAGGCTAGCGCTCTACCACTTGAGCCACAGCGCCACTTCTGGCTTTTTTTTTTCTGTTTATGTGGTGCTGAGGAATTGAACCCAGGGCCTCATGCATGCAAGGCAAGCGCTCTACTACTGAGCCACCTTCCCAGCCCCCCTCATTTTCTTTTCATTTCTGTGTCTATACCTGTTTTGTGCCTCCTTTGCATGAAAGTGTGGTTCTGAGTTCTAAGTAATGGGATGAGTAGAATAATATGCATTGTTTCCAGGCTTGGCCCCTCAGTATCACACCCCAACCCCATTTGGGGGTAGGGGAGTTGGCTAGAATGGAGACAATCTTCTGAGTAACCGTAGAAAACACACCCTAAGTATAGAAAGCCTCTTAGGCTGACTAACGTCACCTATCCAGTTCTACTACATAAGAAAAAACTAAACCTGCATTGTGCTTGAATCATTATATATTTGGGTCTACTTGTTAAAGCAGTTAGACTACCCCTATTACAAGGAACATGCTAACACATGCTTTATGTTGTCTTTAGAGAAACATATGCTCATTTAACAGCCTAATAAACAGGCAGATTGTGACGATATAATTCTGTCTGTCTGTCTGTCTGTCTGCCTATCTATCTATCTATCTTGGGTCTGTGACCCACTATAAAGTTGTAGAGAATTGAAATGAGAATTTTTTTCTCACATTGAAAAAAATGAGACAGTTTTCGTGTAAGTTTAATTGGATAATAATTTTTACACTTTAATATTTTTTATTTTTTTCTAAACTCCAAAAGGTTGTGCAGGGGCTTAAAATTGAACATATCCATCTAAGTATGTAGTGCTTGATCAGAATAGAATCACTCTCCCATCATTTTCTTCCCTCCCATCTGTTTCCTCTGCCAATTTTAATATTCTTGTTTTTTTACTTTTTCATTTTGGAGGCCAAAGTTCCAAAGCAATTTAACAGAGGAGCTGTCCTCAAGTATTTCTTTTACATTTGCTATCTAAACATTTATTAGTATTAAATATGGTAAGTTATGTGCAAAATTTTCTGACAATACAATGTTCAGTTTTAGAAAACTGTACTTTCTTTCTCCCCAACTCTACTTATGTCATGTGACTTACCTCTTCATAAAATCATTTTGTTTGTAATGAAGTTCTGGGTCTCTAGACTTACTTCAGAGACTGTATAGCAAGGCATTTTCTTCAAAGTATGCATGCGTGGAAATTCCACATGAACTTTCCCAAGGAAAGTTGAGGCAATTCAAGTATACCTTTACCCTTTTACCTAGTAGTTTTTACTCAGTCACCCAGAGGAAGTGTTAATCCCATATATTGTCTCCTTAATTAGAGGAAAAGAGTTCTTTACATTTTTAACTTTAACTTTGAAGTGGTCCTATAGTATCTCAAATAGCAAGTACAATATTAAGAATATATTACACTTACTTCCCTAACAAGTTTGACACCTTGAAGTTTCTAGACATTTTGATTATAATAATAACACTAGCAAGCATTATGAAAATAGCTTTCATAGAGCTCATACATTTTACTATCTCAAATGGAGTTACCTCTTTTCTTCTGAAGCAGTGCATTGAATTTTATATATTATGTTAGTAATCCAATTTCTCCTGGGAGACCTTGAGTTGTTCTTTGGGTTACAGTTAAGTCCGAAACAAGCAGTGCATAACAAGTTAGAAATAAAAAGGGGAAGAAAGCTGGGTGCCAGTGGCTCACGCCTGTACTCCTAGCTACACAGGAGGCTGAGATCTGAGGATCGTGGTTTGAAGTCAGCCCAGGTTGGAAAGTTTGTGAAATTCATCTCCAGTTAACCCCTAGAAAGCTGGAAGTGGGACTATGGCTCAAAGTGATACAGTACTATCTTTGAGCATAGCACCCAGGCCCTGACTTCAAGCCCCATAACTGACCAAAAAAAAAATTACTGAAAGCAAAACGTAGTTTATTTTTTTATTTTTTAGTCGGTCGTGGGGCCTGAACTCTGGGCCTGGGCACTGCCCCTCAGCTCTTCAGCTCATACTAGTGCTCTACCACTTGAGCCACAGCACAACTTCCGGCTTTTTCTATTTATGTGATGCTGAGGAATCGAACCCAGGGCCCCATGCATGCAGGGCAAGCACTCTACCACTGAACCACCTTCCCAGCCCCAAAACGTAGTTTATTAAAGTCACTTTGAAGTGTTATTGTTAACATACCAATGACAATGCCAAGCAGAACCTCCTAAGATACCCTATATGATTTAAGAAATTTTTTTTTTTTTTTTTGGTCAGTCATGGGGCTTGAACTCTGGGCCTGGGCGCTGGCCCTCAGCTCTTCAGCTCAAGGTGAGCGCTCTACCACTTGAGCTACAGTGCCACTTCCGGTTTTCTGGTGGTTTATTAGAGATAGGAGTCTCACGGTCTCTCCTGCCCGGGCTGGTTTTGAACCTCGATCCTCAGATCTCAGCCTCCTGAGTAGCTAGGATTACAGGCGTGAGCCACCAGCGCCTGTCTTTAAGAAATATTTACTGAGGGCTGGGAATGTAGCTTAATGGTAGATTGCTTGCTTAACATGCTTGAATCCCTGGGTTTGAGTCCTAACTACCACATAAACAGAAAAAGCTGAAAGGGGCGCTGTGGCTCAAGTGGTAGAGTGCTAGTCTTGAGCAGAAGAAGCTCAGGGACTGTGCTCAAGCCCTGAATTCAAGCCCAGGACTGGCAAAAAGAAAAAAATATTTATGAATAAATGAATAGACAAGCACTGAAGTTAACTTAGCTGTCACTAGGTTCGTAGGAACCTTCAGGTAAAGTTCCAGGTGTCATTTATTAAATGTCATTTATTAACTGTAAAATGTTACATACTAATATAATACAAATAATATACTATTATATACTAATTACATTTATTTATGTTCTGGAATTTAGGTGGCGATTAAAATAATAGATAAATCTCAACTGGATGCAGTGAATCTTGAGAAAATCTACCGAGAAGTACAAATAATGAAAATGTTAGACCACCCTCACATAATCAAACTCTATCAGGTATGGCTTAGCTTTCCAGTCTCAGTTCTCTATTTTACATCATGATTTTCCCTCTTACGTTTTCTAACCTGTGAAAGAAATATGCTTTTATTCATCTACATACATTCTTTTTCCTTTATTATCTTTACATTTAAAAATTGGAATAGGGGGCTGGGAAGGTGGCTCAATGGTAGAGTGCTTGCCTTGCATGCATGAGGCCCTGAGTTCAATTCCTCAGCACCACATAAGTGGAAAAAACCAGAAGTGGTGCTGTGGCTCAAGTGGTAGAGAACTAGCCTTGAGCTGAAGAGCTGAGGGACAGTGCTCAGGCCCAGAGTTCAGGCCCCACGACCAGCAAAAAAAAAGAAAAAGGAATACTGAAGCTAAGTGGTATCTTAATTTTAAGTTGTCTCTGAAACTGCTATTTACTTGTTTAAAAGTTTGTAGTCGTGCATTTATAATTCACTGTTTTGAACTTGCTATATATATATTTTTTAATGTGGTGCTGAGGAATCGAACCCAGGGCCTCAGGCATGCAAGGCAAGCGCTCTACCACTGAGCCACCTTCCCAGCCCCTTGCTATATTTTGAAATCAAAATTTTGTTTATTTTCTTAAAAGCAGAAGTTTGTGTCCATTCATATGTAGAATTTTTTAAATTGAAAAATGGTTTCTAAACTCTTGATGCTGATCTATGACTTTGGCCACCAAGGTATGATAGGTGTACTCATAGCATGCTAGACTCAACCTATACTCGTTGTGAGATTTATGGTTGAATTTGCTGAAAAGTTTTGCAAGCTGATTAACATCACATTAGTAGCTCAAAATCAATTAAGTGTTAATACCAAAGGAATTGGCTTACAAATCAGGCCTTTTTTTCCTGTCAGCCAATACTACTGTGTACTCAAATAAATTTGCTCAGGTCTTTGGGAGTATAAGAAGAAAATATTAGAATTTCTAGTTAAGTTTATGATATTCTCTTATATATATTTTATAATGTATGTATTTATACATTGACACATGCATATCCACAAATGTGTTTATACATAAGCATGTATACAGACCTGTATATTTAGCTAAACACTGTTTATAATAGAAAATGACATTTTACAAAGATTGGAGACCACGGACTTACAACTTGTCTACTATGTGTCAGTCCAAATATTTCTTAAAATTATAAAACTATAGGGGCCTCTTAGGTCAAACTTACATTATTTCTCCCTTTACAGTTTTTTGTTAATTCCTAAAGAAAATAGTTCTAAGAAACTAATGATAGTTGGACCATAGCTGATGGACCACATGAAGAAACTAAGGATAGTTGGGCCGTAGCTGACGGACCACATGGTTAAATTGAGGTTAAATCTTTTGTGGTAATTCTGATTATTGACAATAAAGAGTTGAGGTTGAGTCTGTATTTGTTTAGGCCCAAAGTATAAATAAAACCACTTTGTTTTTTGGCCTGATATGTAATTTTAGGACAAAATTTGTTTTCAGCCTTTCAGTAGCTAGCTGAAAACTACTTTTTAATTTAAAAGAATGTTCCAGGGACAAAGACTAAAAATTACTCATCTTGAATAACAAAATTAACATTTTTCTAATTCAGGATATTTTGAAAAATCAAATTGGTGACAATTGACACACTTCTTTCTGAATCTAGAAAACCTAATTTAAATAAAAATAGCATTGAAATGGTGAAAGATGCTTGTAAACAATGTTTTAAAATTACAGTACTTTGTAATAATATTAAAGTATAGAAGGAAGAATTGAACATCCTGCCAGATTAGCTAGTCTAATCTTAGATCAACAAGTTCTTTTTTTAAAAAAACTAAGTTCTTGTTTTATTATTCTTTTCTATTTCTTTTTTTTTTAATTTTTTTTTTTGCAGTACTGGAATTTGAACTCAGGACTTTGAGTTTGCTAAACAGGCACTCTATCATTTGAGCCCTATTCCCAACCCTATAATTCGTTTCTTGTTGTTGTTGTTGTTGGTCTTGGGGCGTGAACTCTGGGCCTAGGCGCTGTCCCTTAGCTCTTCAGCTCAAGGCTAGCACTCTTCCAATTGAACCATATCACCACTTCAGGTTTTCTGGTGGTTTGTTGGAGATAAGTGTCTCATGGACTTTCCTGCCCAGGCTGGCTTTGAACCACAATCCTTAGATCTCACCCTCCTGAGTAGCTAGGATTACAGGCTTGAGCCCCCAGTGCCCGGCTTATAATTCCTTTCTTAATTTGTGTATCATGGTAACAGAAGACTCAAAAACTCAGTGAGGAGGGGTTGAAAAGTTGGTCTTGAAAACTTTTTATCTATATCAGTATTTATAAATTTTAATGTGTATACAAATCATTTGTCGGTTTTGTTAAAATGTAAACTCTAAGCTGGACTTTCATGCTAGCTACTAAAGATACTGAAGTTTGAAGATCACAGTTCAAAGCCAGTTATAAACACCAAGACAAAGCCAGAAGTGGAGCATTGGCAGAATACTAGCCTTGACCAGGAAGCCCCCAGGACCAGTACCCCAAAAAAAGTAAACTATATCAGTAGGTTTGGGATTCTGCATTTTGTGTCTGTGTGCTGGTCGTGGGACTTTTTTATTCTTTTTATTTATTTTTTATTTTTTTGATCGGTCATGGAGCTTGAACTCTGGGTTTGGGCGCTGTCCTTTCGCTCTACAGTTCAAAGTGAATGCTCTACCACTTGAGCCACAGTGCCACTTCCAGTTTTCTAGTGGTTTATTGGAGATAAGAGTCTCACGGACTTTCCTGCCCAGACTGGCTTTGAATCATGATCCTCAGATCTTAGCCTCCGGAGTAGCTAGGATTACAGGCATGAGCCACCTGCGCCCGGCTTGGGACTTTTTTATTCTTGTGGTTAATTGGAGATAAAAGTCTCTCCGACTTTCCTGCCCTTGCTGGCTTTGAATCATGTCCTCAGATATCAGCTACCTGAGTAGCTAAGATTACAGTGAGCCATTGCAGCCTGGCTTTTGGGATTCTGCATTTCTAATAGGTACCTGGGCCTGTTGGGCCATGGACCTCACTTAGGAAGAGCAAAGATCTAGATTTTTCACAAAAAAAATATTAGCATAAGATATTGTAAGGCAGATTCTTTTATGAATAGTTTGAATTTAGGTAACTCTGTATAACATGTGGTAAAGTTTTGTGCTTCCTGACAGACTAATACGATATTATTTTTTAATAGGTAATGGAGACCAAGAGTATGTTGTACCTTGTGACAGAATATGCCAAAAATGGAGAGATATTTGGTAAGCTAAAAATACAGAATATATATTTTTCTTCAATTATGTTATTAAAGAAACTAATTCTCCCCTTTGGTTGAAAACTAGATAGTCAAAGAGAGGGAGACACTCCGGTCATATTGCAAGAGACTTTCTTTTTCCTTTTTTATCTTTTCTTTTACCTTTCTTTTTAGAAAAGCCATCACAACAGGTATTAAGTACTGCTATGGCCCTGGTTATCTAAATAACACAATCCCTGAAAGTGTTGATTTTACACTTGAGAGAGGTAGTCATCGTAATTGTAAGACCTCAGACCTCGTCACCAAACCTCTGAATCATGGTTCCTTTAATTCTAGTAAGAAAGGATTTGATTAATTGTCCTCTATGATTCATTCTAACCCTTATATAGTCTATTAGTTCTAGCTTTCATCTAAAATATCTATTAGTTTTACACTATGAATTCAGTGAAAGTATCTAAATATTTTTGGCACTTAACCCAAATTTAAGTCCAAAGCCTCTTGTTTGTTTTCCTGGACTTCATTTCAATAAATATTGTTTTATGTGATAAGAGGCACAGAGCTTGTGCCTTTGGGTTCTTCTCATAGTACCCTCCTTTGGTTTCACTGTGTGTGAATGACTAGAGTCCTATATAATTTATTATGTCAAAATTGTTTTCCAAACAACTTGATTGAGGAACAATTCACCTAAAATAAATTACATATTTTAATGTGCAGGATTTGACATGCATGCAAGTTTCCTACAGTTAAGCATCCAATTTTGCATGAAACATTTCAAATCTTCCAAATTTCTTTGTATCTTGAGACAGTCACTGGTCCTTTTTTTTGTAGCTTCTGGAATTTTATATAAACATATAATCACCTAGTCTATACTCTTTTTGTCTTTCTTCCTTCTCTCTGTATAACTATCTTGAGATTCATCAATTTTCTTATGTATATCAATATCTTTTCATTGCATATAGTATTGTTATATGAATATACCGTATTTGCTTGTCCAGCTATTTATAGATATTCGATTGGTTCCAGCTAAATTGCCATGATAGGATGCATTAACAGTAACTTACAAGTAATATGGACCACTTCATATTTAGTATAAGAACCTTAAAACAATATGTTTCTGTTGTGTCCTTCAAGGCTTTTACATTCTTTATTGACATATATTACATGTACCTAATTTATAAGACACAATAAAGTATTGTGTCTTTTTAACAGTCAGCTGTCTTGTGTGTGTGTGTTTGTGTGTGTGTGTGTGTGTCTGTCTATGTGAACTCTGGGCCTGGACGCTGTCCCTGAGCTCTTCAGCTCAAGGCAAGCACTCTACCACTTGAGCCATAGTGCTACTTCCAGTTTTCTGGTGGTTAATAAGAGTCTCAAGGACTTTCCTGCCCAGGTTGCCTTTGAACCATGATCATCAAATCTCAGCCTTCTGAGAAGCTAGGATTATAGGTGTGAGCCACTGGCGCCCGGCTCAGCTGTCCTTTTAAATCCTATTTATTAGTGTTGTTACTCTATCTTCCTCTGCATATTTGCATTTTTATCTTATGTGAATGCATATTTTCATATTAGGGTTATTTTCCTTTTTTCTGAGGGATTTTATTTCTTGTATTCTTGTATTACAAGTGATAACATTTTCAGCTTTTGTGTGTCTTTTTTTGTTTGTTTGTTTGGTCTGTCATGAGTCTTGAACTCTGGGCCTGGGCACTGTCCCTGAGCTCTTCAGCTCAAGGCTAGCACTCTACCACTTAAGCTACAGCCTCACTTAGGCTTTTTCTGCTTATGTGGTGCTGAGGAATCGAACCCAGGGCCTCATGCATGTGAGGCAAGCACTCTACCACCGAGCCCTCTTTCTAGCTCCTTTCTATTTGTGGTTTTAACAATTTGATTATGATATGCTTTTGTGTAGTTTTCTCAAAGTTCTTCATTTAATGATCATAATGCTTCCATCTCTTTCTCTTTTCCATTAGAGATTTTAGACCAGTACATTTGAAATTGTTCTATATCTAGTCCAGGCTATTTGCTTGTTGGATGCTATTTTCCAGTTCAATTTTTTTCTCTGTCTGTTTCATTTTAAGTACATGTTCTTCCTTCCTTCCTTCTTTCCTTCCTTCCTTCCTTTCTTTCCTTCCTTCTTTCTTTCTTTTGCCTGTCATGGGCCCTGAACTATGGGCCTGGGCGCTGTCCCTCAGTTTTTCAGCTCAAGCCTAGCGCAATACCACTTGAGCCACAGTGCCACTTCTGGCCTTTTCTGCTTATGTGGTGCTGAGAAATCTAACCCAGGGCCTCATGCATGCAAGGCAAGCACTCTTCCACTGAGCCACCTTCCCAGCCCCAGCCCATGTTTTTTCTATGTCTTCAAGTTCACTCGTCTTTTCTTCTGTAGTGTAATCTGACATCATTCCAATTGAGTGTATTTTCAACAAGTTAGAGGCTTTATTTTTTTTAATACCTTCCACTGTATTTACTTTGCTATTTTGCTACTGTTGTTCTGGTACTAGGGCTTAAACTCAGGGCCTGGACTCTGTCCCTTAGCTTTTTATCAAGACTGGCACTTGAGCCAGTCTTCAGCTTTTTGCTGGCTAATTGGAACTAAGAGTCTCATGGATTTTTCTGCCCAGGCTGCCTTCAAACTTCAATCCTCAGCACCACTTCCAGTTACTTCCAATTGTTTCTTGGAGATTAAGAGTCTCATAGACTTTCCTGCCCAAGCTAGCTTTGAACTGAGACCTCAGACCTCCCCCTTCTGAGTATCTAGGGTTACAGGCATGAGCCACTAGTGTCCGGTTTTACTAAACTTTTTGAATATCTGGAATATAATTATAAAAACAATAATTTTCATATTCTTTCACTTTAGATTGACTGTTTCTCCTCTGTTGTGCTCATATTTGGCTGCTTCCTTACATGCAAAGATGGAGGCAGGGGAAGTGGAGGAGTTGTTTGAGATTTTAAATAAAGTGGTCAAAGAAAGCCTTTTGGACATTTGAACAAAGACTTGAAAATACAGTCTTCCAGATATAGGAAAGGGAGAATATCCAGAGATGTGTAAATGCAGAAGCCATGGGACAATAGTGTGCCTGGTATTGATATTCAGATGATAATCAGGAGGGCAGTATGTTGGAAGCAAGTAAGGGAGAAAGAGACAGACTGATAGGAAATGCAGTTGAAATGGTAAACGGGAGGCAAGAGCAGGGCGGGTGTGGGGTTCAGTCGCCATTCTAAGGACTTTTCTCTCACCTTGAATAAACTTAGGGAACCTTTTTTTGCGAGATTTAGTTGAGAAGTCACTGCATCTGAGTTAGCATTTTGAAAGCATCACTTTGACATACAGTGCTGTGTTGAGAATAGACTGGAGTGGGAAGGGGTGGAAACAAGGAGATTAGGTAGGAGGCTGTTGCAGTAGATAATAATACAGACCAGAATTGAAGCTCATGACTCTCTACAGGGAGTCAGGAGTGGTCAAACTCAGAATATATTTTAGAAGTAAAATCAGTATGATTTCTCTTCAGATAGGGACCACCTAATAAGTACTATGGATAAGTATAGAAAAATCAGGGCCTGAAACCTTGAAACACTCAAACATAAAAAGGTTAGGAAAGAGGAGAAGCCAGCAAATTTGGAAAAGGAGTCCTTCCCAGGAAAAGGTGTGAACATCTGTGTCAAACAATGCTTGTAATTGGCAGTTGGTAAGAGCCGTTTTGATTGAGTGACTGGAGCAAAAGCTAGATGCAAAGGGTTAAAAGAACAAATAAGAGGAATGAATATGACCAAAGTGTATTAGGTACATGTGTGGAAATATAATGAAACCCCTTTTGTACAATTAATATGCAGTAATCTTTTTTAAGAGAACAGAATGGGGGGCTGGGGAAGTGGCTCAGTGGTAGAGCGCTTGCCTTGCAAGCGTGAGGCCCTGGGTTCGATTCCTCAGCACCACATGAGCAAAAAGAAAAAGAAAAAAGCCGGAAGTGGCGCTGTGGCTCAAGTGGTAGAGCGCTAGCCTTGAGCTGAAGAGCTGAGGGACAGCGCCCAGACCCAGAGTTCAGGTCCACGACCGGACCCAAAAAAAAAAAAAAAAAAAAGAGAGAGAGAACAGAATGGGAAAGGGAAGTATATTGGTGAAACTAGGTTAAACATATTTTGCTAATTCTTTTTTTTTTTTGGGGGGGGGAGGGTCCGGTCATGGGGCCTGAACTCTGAGTCTGGGCGCTATCCCTCAGCTCTTCCGCTCAAGGCTAGCACTCTACCACTTGAGCCACAGCGCCACTTCCGGCTTTTTTCTTTTTGCTTATGTGGTGCTGAGGAATCAAACCCAGGGCCTCATGCGTGCAAGGCAAGCACTCTACCCCTGAGCCACCTTCCCAGCCCCATATTTTGCTAATTCTTGAACTTACATGATAAGTATGTGAGGAGTTTGCTGTAGGATTTCATCAGCTTGTTTCATCAGTATGTTTGAATTATGTAATAGAGTCAGTTTTTAAAAGAACAAAAATAGAGCAAAATACACAACTCCTTCAAGCAGTTCTGCTGCTTAATGGGAGAGAAGAAGTAGGGAGATACTTGCCAGAGGTAATAAAGTCAAGTGAAAGATTTTTATGTCTTTACTCAAGATATGTTTAAGCTTTAAGCTATAGTTTTATTAAACTGGAACCGGCTTTACATGTTCAGTGTCATTTCTATGAAAATGAGGTGGTCTCGGTTACTTTGCCACTGGTTTGGAGCAAATTGTTTGGAATAAATTGAGGCATAATTTGGCTTAACATATAAAGCATTAATGTAAAATACAGTAGACACATGTATAAGTAAAAGTCTGAAAAGAACTAGGAGTATAGGTCAATAATAGAGCACTTTCTAGGAGGTCTAGGTTCCCAGTACTGCAAAATGAGAGATGGAGGGAGGGAGAGAAGGAAGGAGGTGGTTATAAAGCTTTGAGAAGATGAATCTGCTGTGCAGTTTTCTTTGACATGTCTGTGCCACATGCTGTCTTTCTCTGCCGTACTTTTCTATAATAAATTTTCC